GAATACGGTAATTTGACAAATGATTGGCTACACGTGCCGCAAAGCGGCACGTGCTCATTTGCCAAATTACCGTTATTTTTGCCCAATATTGTATACATAAATGGATAAACGGATAATGGATAGGAACTCTATGCTTACAAAAATATCAAGCTTTCCGACATTAAACAAAATCGAATTTTAAACACTGGTAACCAACCTAAAAAATTACGCCATTAGTATTAGTGTTGGGGTTTTGCTGCTGTTTTGTTTTGATTTTATGTTATACGTCACCTTAGAACTATACAGAAACTTTGAATAAGTAGCTGCGCGACATTGTCGCGCTAAACCATGAACGATGTTGTGGGGTGACCAATAAACTTAAACCTAAAACTAATCTAACAAACTATCTGATACGCAAGATAGTGTATATTCGGCAACCTCAAGACTCTAAAACCTTGAGTGGTAGGCTTCGAATGGAGGCGTGGAAAGACTTGGTCCGAGTATCAAGGTCTTTCGGGTCTTGGAATGATGTTACTGGTCTTAGATAAATGCTCTGTATCCTTTTGGCTTATTAGTTGCTTTTGCTGGATCGATAACTCTAACTCTTAATACTGTTATTTCTTTAACTTAGGATGTTTCGCTTTCTTTCGGGGTCACGTGTTACGTCACTTGGATAACTGCGGCGATCGGAAGTTCAATATTAAACTTTAGATCGTTAAGATTGTTAACGATGATCTTGATGGCGTCACAAGTAAGAGATATCCACGAACCTAGCATAACCACCAAAATCAGTTACGTAATCGCTGTTTAAAATCATCTCCCGAAAATTAATGCAATTTGTGAAATTCACTCAACAGATTTGAGTCACAAAAACAGCAAAAACAACAATCCTCATTTAAAATAGTGGTGGTGCATTTGGACAAATGCAACTACAGAGATTCGGAACACCTCAAAATACATTTGAAGCTTATAATACCAATCAACCATCCACGTTTGGAACACCTACTTTTGGACAAAATACAATTGGATTTCCAGAAACTCAACAAGGGTTTGGGACATCTATAGGTGGGATCAGTTTCGATCAAAATGTAGCTAGTTTTGGTGTATCAACACAACAAACAATTGAAGAATTCAGATAAACCGCATAGCCAGATCCATTTTTACAACAACAATTCAAGTTCTAAGGTAATTCTATCTGGTCGTAGTCAAGTAAAGTCAAGGTCTTGTAACTTTACTGATATCTTATATCTTTTTCTTCCCTTTTTAATTGAGGTCACTAGGTTTTTAATGAAGTATTGTTTTGATCTTGCTTTTCTTCTATTATGCGCCCCTATCCCGTGTATAATTGTTATAACTATCCAATAATCTGTTACGTCTGGTAATACAATTTTTATTTTGATTCCAAAAAGACTACTTCAAAGTCAAATGGAGTCTTTGCCTTGAAAATGACTTTACAGATCATGTACCATAAGGTCATTTTCAAGGCAAAGACCCCAAATCATTATTTTGCTTAGAGCACATGTAGGACTTCTTTTATTCTACCTCTGTGCTTAGTTAATATGTCTATTATAGAACCTTAGGAGTTAACTTTTTTATCTTCATCATGCTTGCATGTGACTTATATGAAGTGATTAAGAATCCCTTTCTTTACATCTTCTTTTACTAAGAATAAACACTTATGGTTCAACTCTAATAGATATCTTTTTATTTTTAAAAGAAGACAAGTTGATTAAAAAATTTTGTAATTCTATATGTCTATATAATTAAAATAAAAAAAAAATTCATTGATTTTAGGTAGGTGATTTTTAGATATCTTCGCTCAAGGTTTGGAAAAAACTTTGCTACAGCTTTTTTTAATAGTTACTCAAGTTTTTTTTAAAAACTTTAAATAAAAGATATCTTGACAACTATGGTTGTATATCAGAATCCCGAAACTCAAAATCCTGACACTCAAAATTCTGGCAACAAAATCCCAATACAGTCAAACCTCTCTATAGTCACCTTCTATATAAGCACATTTTCTTTATAAGCTTGTTTTTTAAAAAACCATCTATTATTAAATATAATAAATTTGACCTCTATAATTAGCACACTTCTCTATAATCACGCTTTTTTGTATCCCGTGGGTGTGACTATAGAGAGGTTTGACTGTACACAAAATCTCAACAAATTAAAATCCTAATTTTAATATTTTTAGAATTTTAATTTGTCAGGATTTTGTGTATCAGGATTTTGTTGCTGGGATTTTGAGTATCAGAATTTTGTGTTTCAGGATTCTGATATACATCTGACAACACCTATTTAAAATCTATAAATTTTTTTATTCTGATTTTACAATTAAAATAAAAATTTTTTATCAATTTTAGATAGTGACTGCCAAGATAACTTCACTCAAAAAACTTTGTTGCAGCTTTTGTTTTAGTTATTCAAATTTTTTTCTAAACTTTGAGCGAAGATATCTTAATAGCCACTATCTAAAATTGATAATATATAGTTATTAGATGTGAAAGCAGCCAATAACAGAATTATTTGCAAAATAATTCATTTATCTGGCTATATACATAGCATCCAATAATGGGTTTATTGGGTGCTAATAATGACTAAACTAATAGAATAATTCAAGTTCTTTTGGTGATAATTGGATCAAGACATAAATGTTTAGAACCTGATTGTTATATTAAATTAGCTATGAGATATATAAATAAAGATCATGATAATGATCACTTCAACTAAAATTATTGAAATAATTACTTATTGACTAAATAAAATAGATCAAGAATATGATAATGAAGTCAAAAAAACAAATTTTAGAAGCTAATAAAATTAAACTAGAATTAATTAAACAAATACATTCTCAAGACATATATACTAGCAAGTTGTACGATACTAAAGCAATTTCAGATTATTTTAGTAAGATTGAATATCAGGCATATTTTTTAAATTAAATTATATAAAGTACCAATTTTCTGTTTTAATAACTTATTAAATATTCATATTAATATTTGAAATGCTAATTCGTACAAATATTTTTTTAAATAATCATACAGGTTTGTGTGTATATAGAGATTATTTTTTTATTTGATTTTGCTGATTTATGTATTAAATTAATTTTTAATATATATAGCTAGATAAAAAGATTATAAACAAGTAATAATAAACTCTGTATATATAATAATAAAGGTTTTTGATCTAACTGATATATTATATTTGCAAATAGTTTTAACTAATTATATGAAGTTACCTAACAATATTCTATTGTTAAAATTTTTTACAGAGAGATCCTGGGTTAGAATATATCGGAACCCTAGTCAGATGGGCCAGAATTGATCGATTTTGCCTAAAATTACTAAAAATTTTATTAATAAAACTGTTATTCATAAAATAAAAAATGTTTAACCCAGAAGAAATAAATATACACAGTTCTCTAACGCACAACCTGAGTATTGCTATTTCTTGCAGAACTGTGAGAGCTGGGTATACAGTGAGCGCTCTTGTAAAAGACAAATTTGAGGTGTTACTTCTAATATTTTTAGACCCCTGTGACCCTTCAATTTGCTTTAACAAATTCCTTAAACATCACCAACTTCCACTTCTTACATTCCCTCAAACAATCAATTCCTTTCTTCTCTATCTCATCAAACATAGCCTTTGGGACAATTTACAGAATAAACTCATAATCTCTATTAAAGCTGACTATAGCAAAGCCTATATCTATACTCTACAAGAACCCTGTCCCCTTCCTAACCACCTAATTGTACCATACCAAAGTGCCATCTTTGCAAATCCCACACCCTTCTAAAATCTCATACACAATATTCTTCCTCATCCACACCTCCTGGACCCCATACTGATCTACCTAATACCTCTTACTCTCTACTAAACCTTTCTATATGTACTCATAATATCCAAGGCTTCAACCAAAATCTCAAACAACAAATATGGGAACACTACTGTCTATCTAACAAATTGGATATTATATACCTCACTGAAACCAAACTAGCTAGCAACAACTTTACCTCAAAATGCCTTATAACCCCTCATTATATTTACTTTTGGTCCTGTACAAAAAACTCCAAAGCTTGTACTGCAATTATGATATATAACTCACTAACACCTCATATATACAACATAGCTACCTTTCCCGGCTATGCTATCTTTATTGACTGTTCTTTAAACATAATTTCAAATTCCATATTATTTCAACCTATCTTCCTTGCAATGACACCTCTATCAGACTTCAAACTCAAAATACTATTATCCAATAGATACAAGATGCCTATACTCTCAATCTGCTTTCCATCATACTTGGTGACTTTAATGCCTCAACCAACAATATTTACTCTGCATCTATTAAATACAAACTTTTCCAATTTCTCTCTTACAACAATATGTACAATCTTGCCTTAAATACTTCTTCTTCTTCCCTTACCTAGCAAAATGCTAGATTTTGTAGTGAAATCAAGTTCATCTGGGCCTACTACACTATTCTAATCTATCTTACTTCTTTCAATATTGAGGATACAGATAACAGCTCTCTTAGTGATCATAAAATTCTCATTGCTTGTTGTTCCTTTTCTCATACTCTACATAGCCAATGTAGATACAAAACTCGTACACGTAGAAGAGTCTTCAACTACAAGATAATGAGCAACTCCAAATGGTATAACTTCACTAACCAAATAAATGCCAACCTTCTTTTCCATTATACTCCCTCCTCAACAGATACTACAGAATCTCTAGAGACTATCTAGTACAAAATCTACACTAGTACTATTACAGCAGCTTTACAACATATTCCTAACAAAAAATTTACAGTCTGAAATTTTTAACACACATTCTCTTCCAAAGCCACCTACTTACACTTTAATCTTAAAAAACTTAGCAATATTATTAGACAAACAAAACATGCACTTAAGCATTTGCTTTCTATTTCTCTTCACCTTAATTCTTCTATTACATTACTTAACAATTCAGCCAACTTGAATATTCCTCCTCTACCATACTCATATCAACTCCTTACTATCTGGATCAACAATGCTAATTTAGAGTGAAAAAAACTTTTTCATGCCCAAAATATAGAAAATATTAATGAAATCAGACAACAAATATCAAAGTCTATTAACAAAAGATGCTTTAAACTTTCTATTTCAATGATTAATAGCATTTTTAATTAATATAAAGACCCTGTCAAATTTAACAATATATGTCTTGACAATGATATTATTACTAACCTTTTTACTATCAAAGCACATATTCAACAGCACTTTAACAATTGGACTACCCCTCATTATATCAACTCTAACCTATTCAACACTCACTGGCAATCTAAATATAGCCCTAAAACCAATATTGATCCTACCTGGTACTCTAATATTCTTTTAGCCTTTACTAAAGAAGAAATTACCTCAACAATCAGCCAACTTCCCAACAATAAAGCTTGTGGCCCATTATGTATAAGTTACGAAATGTTCAAGCATGCAGGTCCCAACTTAATTACCTCAATTACTGCACTCTTCAACTGTTGTCTCTTCTCCCAATCTATCTCCAAACCATGGAAAGAAGGTTATATCTTTCCTATCTCCAAAAAACCCATTTTCGATGGCAACCTTTCTAATACCAGACCCATCAGCCTGATTAAACATATCAAAAAGCTATACACTAAACTTCTCACCAACTGCCTTAATCTTACTTTTTCTCAACATAATATCTTGTTATCCTTTAACTTCATTGTACTTTCTGGCAATTTAACTTTCATCACTATTCACATTCTCAACAACATTATTGAAGATGCAAACTGCAACTCTAATCAACTTTGGCTTCTTTCTCAAGACATAAGCAAGGCCTATGACACTGTCAACTTCGAACTCTTCCAAAAATCTTTACACCATATTCAAATGAGATACGTATTATTTTACTAACAATCACTTTACAGACAACTTATTTCACTGACAATCAATTCACAGACAAGTTCATTTCACTAACAATTATTTCACCGACAGCTCATTTCACTGACAAGTATTTTTTATAAATTACACTAACCTTAGCTCTAATTCTAACCTAATACTAACAATAATGACCAGAATTACTTTGTTGGTGAAATGTTGTTAGTGAAATAATTGTCAGTGAAATGAACTTGTCA